TGGTCAGATGAGGTTGGGTAGGAGTCTTCGGTATGATGGCGATGGCATTCAGTCCCTTGGACGCTGCTTCGAAGCATCTCTTTGCGACTTCGATGTCCCCTTGTAGGGTTGCGGCGAGGTCTTTAGAGGTTTAATATTTCATCTTCAAGTGCATCATTGAAGGTACGACCACCAGCTCGGCCAGAGTCGGTCGCCCGAAGATGCACTGGTATAGTGACAAACAGTCTATAACCAAGAATTGGACCTTGATTGACCTGACAGTTTCAGCGGATCCGAAGTTTACAATGAGCTCAACGTAACCCCAAGGCTTTGTCACTGATCCATTGAAACCCTGTAGATCAGAACCCACGTAGGGAGCCAAATGTGATTTGTCCAGTTGGAGCGTGGAGAACAGTTGGGAGTATATAATATCAACGGAGCTGCCTTGGTCGACGAGGATTCGCCGGACGTCAAAATTTTCCATCTGAGCCCTTATGAGCAGAGGGATGCTGGCATTGCGGGCTCCGCCGAGGAGCTTCTTGTGGTAGAAACAGATGGAAACAGACTCTCCCCGGACCCTGTCGAGGGTGGAGTTCTGGTTCGAGTTGTTGCTAATAAGGTGCTCAAATTTCCTTTTGACGGACCCCACCATCACTTTGTTGAAACCTCCTCCGGAGATGACCATGGCGAAGGGAAACGTCTCCCACGTGTAGTGCACGGAAAAATATGGAAGGTTGTTGAGCCCCTCAGGGATGCAGAAATCTTCAGTCCGTGAGATGCTCATAGCGACCTGAAGGCTGGCTTCCTCAGAGGAAGGCACTTCTTCCTCGACCTTCTGGGATTCCTGGGCGTCTGGTCGATGAGCTTCTTTTCTTTTGGCGAACTGCTTTAGATGCCCGTCCCTAATAAGTATTTTGATGACATCCTTCAGGTGGATGCAGTCTTCAGTCATATGGCCATGGCTCTTGTGGAACCGACAATACTTGGATTTATCAGTGTTGGGTTTGGACGGTATCTGCTTAGGGAACTAGACTCATGCCTGCCGAAATTCTGAGTTGGCGCACTCAGTGAGGATCTTTCCCCTTGAAACTATCAGGGGAGTGTAATGGTGGAACCAGCGGGAGGGTCCCTTGTTGTCTCGAGGCTCACGGGGACGGTCTTCTCATTTTTTAGCTTCTCGACGGGATGTAAAGGGCTCGTCAGACCTGGATGGTCGAGCGTTTTCCCTGTGCCAGGAATCACGGGCAGAGCTGACAACCTCCTTTTCCTCGTACTGAATGTATGCTTGCGGTTTGAGGAGGAAGGCGTCCAGCATTGTCGGGGGTCGGATGCCTACAACTTTAGAAAAATCTATGTGGGGACGGAGCCCGCGTTTGAGCAGAAACTTTTTCATGTCATCGGTGGTAGAAACCTGGACAGCCTCCTTGCTGAATCTTTCAATGTAGGCTCGCAGGGGTTCATCCCTCACTTGAATGATGGCCTCAAGGGAGGCTTCGGTCTTCGGATGACGGCGGGAGGCCGTGAAGTGTTTGGAGAAGATTCTTCCCAGTTGTCTTCATGAGGTGATGGAGTTGTCAAGAAACCCTTTGTATCAGGTCATTGCCCCCTTCCTAAGCGTGGTCGAAAATAACCTGCACTTGATAACGCCCTGGACGTCGCGATAGTCGAGCAGCGTATCGATATTTTTGATGTGCTCGTCGGGGTCAGTTGTTCCATCATATGTGCCTAGAGAGGGGGTTTTCTCTAGTCCTCTTGGGAGGCGCATGGCCATGATCTCCTGGGACAACGGGCCGCGAGGCTTATCGTTGCTGCTGCTGGTGGTCCAAGACGGGGAGCGGGTGTCCCGTCTGTAGGTAGGGCGGCGATCTCGTCGGGGAGATGGGATCCGTGCTCGGCCCTTGGTTCTAGGCGGAGGCGAACATTGGGACTCAGCTTGGTGGCCTCTTCTGGTCCTCTTGGGTTGTAGAGAATGCTGGTTCTGGAGAGAAATCTGATAGCGTTTGTGGATGGTTAGGGTCTCTGGTTCTGGAGGTGTCTGATGATTCCTCTCGCGTCGGAGAAGAAGACTTCGTCGTTGTTGATGTTCTTTCCTCGGTGGAGGGCATCTTGGACGGTTAGACTCTTCTAACGCTCCAATCCTTGCGTTCTGATTGAGGATTAGGAGGTTGGTTTTGTTAAGAACCTCGAGGAGGGCCTCCATGGCCGGGTCGGCACTGGGCAGAACTGGAACTGGCAGGTGCCGTCGGACAAGTGGGGTTTCGTCGTGATCTGCACGAGTAGGGGATGAGGAAGTTGTGGCTCTGTCCCTTTATCGAAGGATGTCGCCGCCATGAGAGGTGGTGACCCCATCAGCATCAGTCTTACTGACGGGGAGGAAAGCAGAGTTACGAGCATCAAAATCATTGTCACGGGAAGCCATGATCAAAATTTTGAAGAATTGTTTTGGTATTGTGTTCTACGAAGAGAGAAAAGACGGGGATAACAAGTGTTCCCACAGATGGCGTCACTGATCTTATCGGTTGATCAGAATCTGAGGTGGGCCAAAGATAAGCGTCTGTGATCCTGGGTGTGAAAGAGGAGGAAGAGATGTACCTGCAAGACACTCCGATGCTAAAGTAAGAAAACGAGCAAGAGACAAAGAGAACAAGTACAGAATATGAGTGTTTCAGGATAAATATTGGATACCTGACCTTCTCAAGTGAGAGGGTTTATATAATGCCCCCAGCGCTTGGCCATTGGTCTTTACTTTCGGGGCGAGATAACCGTTTCCCGAAGAATAGGTAACTGTCAGAACTAACTGTTGGAACGGGCAAACGTGCCCATAACTAGTCGTTGCTACGGGTAGAGGCATAGTTACAGGCACAGGTGTCTTGGTTGTTTCTGGTGGTGGAACCGTGCGTGACGGGTAGAGACTGTCGAGGAGAAGTGTTGTGACCAATGATAAACTGGTCATCCTCCCTTAATGGAGGGGCAGAAAGATAGATTCTCCCTCAAAGTGATTGGACTTAGATAGTTGGCCCGTTCTAGATGTAGAATTGGATTGAGTCATGTCTAGTCATTGGGTCAGCCCGAAACACCAGCAAAGAACATGTTGACAAACGTGATGAATATATGTGACATAAAGCAATAATGATGTGAAATTAGTGATAAGGTAACAAATATAGGTCAAGCAATAATAATGTGATATTAGTGATAAGGTAAAAAAATCTAGGTCAAGCAATAATAATATGATATTAGTGATAAGGTAACAAATCTAGATCAAATACATGTAATCAACTTTATACATAAACGATTTCGAGTGGGAAACAAACTCCTATTAATAGATTATTAGAACTTTTTTTTCCTGAAAATCAGAGTGCGAAAAAAATATACACAAACTTTCTTATATATTTATTTATTAAAAACATAATCAATTTTATAAAAGTATGTAATATTTATTTTTTAAATTAAATATTAAAAAAATTTAATTAAACTTGCATGATCTCTAGTTTTATAATTTTTTAAATCTCAATTCAAAATTTATTTTAAATCTTTAGATTATTTAAAGTAGCTCCTCTAATAAGTGTGATAGAAAAAAATAGATATACATTTGAGCGCAATAAAAGTGATACCATATGTCTGTCTTTTTGTTAGTAATAGTAAAAATATAATAGCAACATCATTCCAACTCTTTGTGATTCAAAATATATTCCCATTACTTGTATTATATTATCTATAGAAAAATTTTTATAGACAAAATGTTACCTATGATTTAATGATAATTATAATCTAGATATAATTTTTTTTAGACAAAATATTACCTATGATTTAATGATAATTATAATTTAGATATAATTTTCTAAAGGATGTAGTCCCTCCATTCTTATTTATAAGTAAATTTTAATTTTTTAGATTCATTAAGTAATTAATGCATCTACCTTATATATATAGTCCACATACATTATTTATAAATGAACCTAAGAAATCAAAATTTGCTTATAAATGAGAATAGAGGGAGTACTATATACATTTTCTTTGAAAAAGAGTAGTTTATTATTCTGAATATTATATTAATTTTCAAGAAACAGATAACAGTTATTTCTATGATATATTAATTATTCAGTCATAGGTATGATTCACGCGCGTTTATGATAAGGCTAATCCAACGGCTCTCTTCAGTGTACACTCCAATCCTATCCAACTTATATACAAAATCACTAGCCAAATGCAACAAAAATGAACCTGTTAATGTAAGCATATCTCATAGAATGCATGTTTTTTGGTGTAATAATTTCAAAACAGTCAAATGTGCGTGTTTTTCGTGATGTTACCTTAATGTGCCAGACAAACTATTTTTGTTTTAATGTTTGATACTATATTATTACTACATAGTACCTTTTATGCCCCTAGTAGAAACAGTAACTCTCTACTTATAAATAACAACCATGTCTTTGCTTACACAATACACTTTGCTCTCTAGCTTCAAGCCTTTCTCTTTTCCTTGATCGGTATTGCTTTCTTTTTCTATGTCTCTTTTATCTCATGTTCTTACTTTGGTTTGTTAATGTTGGAATTCAATTCATGTTTATTATCCTTAGTGTTGTACTATGTACGAGTTTGTTATCACCGTTGAATCAATAAGTTTCATAGTTGGATCGAATGAGATATGATGAGAACTATTGATTCAATGACGGAGAACAAACTTGTGCATGATACAACACTGCCTTACTTGTGCAACGTAAATTTATGTCTATGATTTTTTTGTTTGTTTGTTCTAGTTCATCTTTGTTGAGTATAGATACTAATAAGTGATCAGATCGATCAGATGAAGGAGTATTCTTATCTACAAGGGTACATTGTACACCCTAAGCTCTGGCGGATGATCTAAATGATCTGTTGTCACTTTGTAGTTGGAGATGTAGGCGACATCGGCTGAATTTTGTGTGTATTCGGTTTTTTTTCTTTATCTTTTTACTTTCAGGCACAAATATATGGAGAACATTAAGGACATCACAGTTTGTGGTTCTCGGGTAAACCTGGAAATGGAGAAAACGGGGAAAGTGTTGATGAGCAAGTATGAGTTTGGCAAACTATTAGGCCAAGGTAACTTTGCAAAAGTTTACCTTGCAAGAGACCTGAGAACTGGTGACAATGTAGCTGTTAAGGTTATTGATAAGGAGAAAGTCGTAAAATTGGGATTCGAGGTTCAAACACAGCGAGAGGTTTTGACTATGAGACAGGTTAAACACCCGAATATTCTGCGTCTTTATGAGGTTTCGGCTACTAAAACAAAGATTTACTTAATTATAGAGTATGCCAAAGGTGGTGAGCTTTTTGAGAAAATAGAAAAAGGCAGATTAAGTGAGAATCAAGCAAGAAAATACTTCCAACAACTGATAATCGCTCTTGATTTCTGCCACAAACAGGGCGTTTACCATCGGGATTTGAAGCCTGAGAATTTGCTTTTGGACGAGAACGGTGATCTCAAAATAGCTGATTTCGGAATGAGTACGTTCCTGGAAGCTCATCAGCGCAACAGTTTGCTGAAAACAGCGTGTGGAACTCCGGCATATGTAGCTCCTGAGATTGTGTCCGAAAAAGGTTATTATGGAGCTAAGAGTGATGTATGGTCATGTGGAGTGATACTATATACTCTTTTGGCGGGCTACTTACCGTTTTATGACAATAATCTTATGGTTCTGTATGGAAAAATCTACCGGGGCGAATACAGTTGTCCAAACTGGTTTCCACTTGACATACGGAGATTGTTAGCCCGAATTCTAGACCCTAATCCGGACAAAAGGATAACCACTGCTAAGATAATGGAATATCCTTGGTTCCGAAGAGGGTTATATTCGAAAGCTGTTCAAATGAAAAAAGTGATTACAGATGTAGCTGATGATGAAATTGCTGCTGTTAAGCCAATTCAAGCATTGGCTCAACCAACATATTTAAATGCTTTTTACATACTTTCTTTGTCTGCAGGGCTTGATTTGTCTGTCCTTTTCGCAACTGATAACAGCGAAAGGGAAGACTTTAAGTTTACTTCCATGAGCTCGCCCTCTTCTATCGTGAGAAAAATAGAGGATGTTGCGCACATTTTGCAGATGGAAATAGTTAAGACGAATGGAGGGATGCTGAAGTTGGAGTGGCCAAGGGAGCGTCGAGAAAAGCCACTTATCATTTCTGCTGAAATCTTTGAGTTCGCTCCGTCTTTCTATTTGGTGGAGATGAAGAAGTCCTGCGGCGATGCTTTAGAGTACCAGAAGATAATGAAGGGACATATAAGGCCAGCTCTCAAAGATATTGTCTGGATTTGGCAAGGTGAGAAGTAGAACAGCATTAGCAAGGCGGTGGCTAGTCCTGAAGAGAATAATCGATTTCATATTTGGAATTATTTCTGCAAAATAATTTAGTATGACAGTTGAGCTGTTGATATTAGTGCCAAAATTTTCAAAAAACAAAAATTTCCCCTGTACTAAATATGCTCTTCGGCTTTAGTCTTTGAAATTTTTGTACCGGTTTTAGTGCTGAAGCATATGCTTGAAGAAATGTTTAGCCCAAACTTATCTGGTTGTTCTGTGATCAATGCTGTCACATATACATCATGTATGACTGATTGTGAAATGTGACCCTGCCATTGTTATCAATGAATGAAACTTAAGCTAATTTACGAAAAAGGGAACGCGTACAAAACGATTGCTTAAATACATACCGATAGCCGATTCAACTTCCCTGTTCTTCAATAAATGATCCAAACCTTTGTCATCTGTATTTATTTTATTAGATTTTGGATGATCTAAATCTTTAATAAGGTTAATATCATAATGCTAAAAATCGCAGAGATATTTGCCAAATGATTTTTCCTAATAAAAAACGTCTTATTTAATGCGGGCGATGATGTATGAATGTTTCAACTTGCCGAGTGATTGTTTGTCTCATGTAGCACCATGAATTATTAACTTACCATATGATTAAGTTCCAAGTTTTCATCATTCTGCCTGAGAATTCGCGGTTTCGATATCTATTTGAGGATCATGAATATTCTTCTAATTTAATGCATTCCTTAGTTATTTAAAATATATCTTATTCCATAATAAAGAGATTGAAACATTGTATTTACACATGAAATTATATTGACAAAAACAAGCATAAACTAATATTTCACACATAATTTACAATAGATCACACCTGGTGTAATGAGGATATTTTATATTTAACTTGCCCTACCTACTTAATTAGCTAGTTTTCATGGATTTAGATTCCTCACCATTGTTGCATGGTGCACTTATTGGCCGCGGGCGTGGTATCTCTAATTGGATCGAAAGGTTCCCACTGCACTGCACCGTGCAGCAGCTATAGGATCTTTTCTCAGTTTTCATACTTGTAGACCAAGAGATGCATCCAAAGTCGGGTTAACCTCCATTTCAACACAAAGCGCCTCTTTGACCCTTGTCGACTCCTTCTTATAAATGTACCTACTTGAAACCCAAAGAAACACCAACAAGTTAACACTTGACATGATCAAAAGAAACCCGTAATAGTAATCCAAGTGAGAGTCATTCAAGTTATCAGCTATCCAACTTTTTCTATACCCTCTTCCTGTTATCTTATCAGTCATTGTCACCAAAAAGCTGTTCAAGAAATTCCCAACACCGATTCCACTTGTGAAGAAAGTTGTTCCAAGACTCTGCATATCTTCAGGGGATTGATCATAGAAAAACTCCAACAATCCAATTGCATTGAAAACATCTGCTATACCAATGAGAACATATTGCGGTAACAACCAAAATATACTCATAGGGACAATCTCTTTAGGACCCAAAATGTGATTCGCTTTTATGACATGAATTCTTCTAACTTCAACTGCATAAGCAATTGCAATTGCTATGATTTGGATTGAAAATCCAATTCCAAGTCTTTGAAGCAATGTGATTCCTCTGGGGTGTCCGGTTCTCTGGCGCATGAAAGGAACGAAAAGTCGGTCATACATTGGCACTGAGAGTAACATGGAGAGGGTTACAAAGCTACCAAGAGACGCTGCTGGAATTTTGAAATCAGGACCAAGGTTTCTGTCTAAGGTGGTGCCTTGTTTCACAAAAAGAGTGTTGATTTGTGCCCAAATGGTGCTTGGAATCAGTGTTACTAGCCATATTAGGAGCATGCCAAAAATTAGCTTTGCTCCTTCTACTTGGTTTACTGTCATTGGAACTCTTGATGAACCTCTAGTAGGATCTTTTTTAATAGCAGCTTTGTCCAAAAACCTGTAGGGAATTCACTTCAGCAGTGGTCAACTCCATGGTTATAAAATCAAAATTCAAATCGTGAATCAAAAAACATATATTTTGAATCATGAATTGAATATTATCACTAATCATGAGATATATTGCTATTAGAAATGTCATTTTTAAATAAAAATCAAGTGACATAAAATTATAAGTTGACACATCATATCTGAACCTCAAATAATTCAAGATTCAAGTCATATCATCAATTGTTAAAAGAAAAGAAAAGAAAAGTGTCTGATTATAAAAAGTTGACAAAAAAAGCGATTGGCTGCATTCAATTCGAGTAAGAATTCAATGAGATTCATATCTAAATAGAAACACACTAGACGGTTTAGTTTAGCATCGAATCGAGTGTGCTTCTACCACTTTTTAGTTTAGTATAGCAAGTTATTGAGAATCATGGTTAATTCATGTTTTTCAATCACTTTCTAGCTAACAGAATTGATTTACAAATTTAATTTTTTTTTTCCTGTCATAAAGAATTAGTTATTATGGAATATTCCAAGTTCCAATCTTCTTATGGTAATGAATCCATTCTATGGCCATCCTATGTGTATCTATGCACCTAGAAGAATGCATATGTGGACAGTAGATTATGCCTTCTTTAGCATGCAATGAATTATGCTTGGTGATATCAACTAGTGGTGTTTGTAATGATTTTCCACAGTAATGATTGGTGGACACAACTGTCACACATTTCCTATATTGGAAAAATTGACTGAAAGATAAAGACTGTTCATTAAAGTGGGCCTCATAACATTACGTGTAGAGTGCACTTAAAAGAAACAACTTGCATGATAAGTAGTGAGTGAGAGCAAATTCCTGTTTGAACAGTAAAATCAAATATCAACTGCAAGATTCCTTTGTTTCTGTCTGAAAATTTTAAAATTTCATTACTGTATATAAGATGAAAAGTAAGCGTTACATACAATACAATCCAGTATGCCAAATTTGATATTCAGATATCATATTTGTGGTTGTAAAGCTGTTAGATTGAGAAATTCAATGAAATTAATAACTTGACAAATCTTTTAAATTCAACCACTCTTGGTGCCCCACCCTTGTTCGCATATAGTAAATAAAATTGGACATTACTTAAGTTGATTGCTTGTGGGCCAAGACATTAAAAATGGGGAACACGTAATCTTAGGACATGGGACCATTTCCTAGATTCTCTATCACAAGGATGCGAGTCTAATATAGATGGAAAATTCCTTTTCTGCATTAGGGTATGTTTGTATTGGCAGCGAGTTTAGTAAAATTACGATGACACTGGAAATTTGTTAGAATTGCAAAGTGTAACTGTTGTAAAAAATGCAGTGGCACACCTTAGTTAAACTCATCATCAATGCGAAAATAGATATAGTAAAATGAAAAGTGCAGACATATAAAGCTTTAAAAGTTGCTGACCTCAAAGTTGGAGTGTGATAGACTTGCCGTTTTCCCCTGCCAACATTATCTTCCATCTCATACTCATGCAGATCCGAAGGGTTACTTGGAAGTTGAAGTTTTCTATTCTTAAAGGCAGCAATAAGGACACGAATTATGTCCCTAGCAGGACTTTTAGAAGTCCTAACTTTATGTCGATAAATCGGCATCCCTATATAGAAAATAACCAAGGACAATACTAAACCAGCAGTAGGAATACCATACCCAAGTCCCCATCCTAAATTCTCCTGAATGTATACAAGGCCTAAAGTTGCAATTAAGGCGCCTAAAAATGAGGTAAACATCCACCAGTTAAAGAAAGAAGCCTTTAACTCTTTCTCACGAGGATTAAAATCATCAAATTGGTCAGCACCAAAAGTTGATATATTTGGTTTTGTTCCACCTGCCCCAATTGCCATAGTGTAAAGTGCTGTGTAGAAAAATGCAACTTGTGATGTTGAGGCTTTGTTACAAACACCATTTGTGCATGTTGGTTTCAAACTCTTGAGTGATACCGCTATAGTAAGAAGTGTCATTCCCTGTCACAAAAACAAATATAATTAATGCATAATACTATAATAACATCACTGTGCCATAAAAATAAGGTAAGTAAAGTGGGCCAATAACTTCATTGTTAAGCTTGTTTTGGACAATACTTAATTAATGTTGACAAATGACAATATATAGTATTGTATCCCACAAATGCAATTAGTGGCCTAGAAACTAGGTATCCTCCCACAAATGCAATTAGTGGCCTAGAAACTAGGTATCTAATATAATGATGTTGAAATTGTAATTTAAACAATATGATTGGGTTGATTATACCAAGACATAAATGAGAGATGAGAGGGTGAAAGTCCAGAATCGACCCAAGTGAGAATCAGCTATGTAAGCACCAAGGATTGGTGTAATCCAAACAGATCCTGACCAGTTATTCACGTTCCTAACTGATGAAACAGTGTCTTCATGAAGTTGTGTAGTAAGGTAATTCACCAAGTTTGAAGCTACTCCATAGAAAGCCATTCTTTCAAATGCTTCATAACCTGAAATAGTATAAAATTTATCATGCTATATATAACTCCAAATATTAACAGTTATACAGAATCTAAGAAAAGGTTTTACACAAAACATGCACGTTTGTTTGGTCTTACCAACGAGAAAAGCACAAGCTTTCCATTTGCCAGTTTTGGAGGGAACAGCAGGTTTGCCATGGAAATCAACAGTACCATCTTGGGTATAATCATCTTTGGTTTCCATTAGAGATGTTAGGTTATATATAGAGGAAAAGAAAATGAGTATAAGGAAAATGAGAGGTAGCCAGCAAGGTGGTAGTGATATGTCAAACAAAGCAATTAATTGTGAGAGAGAAATGGTAGTAGTAGCTATATATAAAGAGTAGAGGCTCACTTATTATCTTAAGGTAAACTATAATTAAGTAAACTTTGTCATTGGATTGAGATGCAAATTTAGAAAGTGGATCCATATATATTAGGATATACCAAGTTTGAAAGTGTAAACTCGAAGGACGAGTCTTATAACACTTTATAAGTGATAGGATCTATAAATTTAAAGTGTTAAGATTTGTCTAATTCATTCAAAGTGATTGTTTAAAGTTCAATGTGATGATCCAAAATCCTCTCATGATTTAATAGTGGTATTAGAGTTTGGTTTAACTGGAACTCTTTGTATCCTTGACCTGAAACAACAATGATGCAAGTAGGCATGATTAAAAAACTTTTATTAGAGAGAGCATATCCATAATAATAAATGGACTTGTTTTGTGAGGGAATCATAATTGATCGGTAATCGATGAATATGGATAGCCATGATGGACTTGAACTTCTGGTGCAGTGGAATATAGATTCACATGTAAGGTTAACACGCTGAAGTCAGTATGAGAATAAAATGAATTAATAAAATTAAAATTCAAAAGGTACCTCAAAAATTATGAGTCTCCCCTTATATAGTATAGAGGCTATAACTGTTTGCTGAACTATTAGTGTAGAATGTGATGATCTATCTGATTGATCTTCGATCAGATCACCTACATTCTTGACAAAGATATTATATATTTATTTCTTTTTTGTATGCTTCTTTGTTTCTATTTTCTTTAGAGTGCTCATTATAGGGGCGACAAAGACGAAATGCACAATTGTGTATCTGATACAGACTTATGCATTATGATAAGGCTTAAAGCGTGTTGTTTGCAGGAATGCACATCAGATACAGACTTACTGCACTTATGCGATTTTGATATGGCTTAAATGTAAGGATGGCAAAAAAACCCGGACCCGCTCCGAAATTAAAGGGAAAACCCCGATTTAATTGGATGCAGATACAGGTGCGGGTGAAACCCGATTCTTAACTACGAGTATGAGTGCAGTAGCGGGAAGACACTAAGACCCGCTCGCACTCGTCCCCGCCCTGCCCCCGAATAATGCATTTTATTTTAATTCCTTTATTTTACTTATTTTAATATTTATTTATTAATTATATTTTTAATTAAATTATTAATGTCCTTATTACAATTAAAGTAATCAAATTAATCAAATTAATATTTATTTACCAATTAACTTTTTAATTAAATAATTAATTAATTTATTAAAATAATTAATTTTTTAATTAAATTATTAATTTTTATTGCAATTAAAAAAAATTGCGGGTGGGTGCAAGGCGGATGCACCCGTTCTCTACTGGGGGCGGGTCTGGGTGGTAAATGTTTACCCTCGGTTGAGTTTGGGGGCGGGGACGGGTGTGTTACATGGAGGCAGGTGTGGGTATAGTTAAACCCGCCCCTGCCCTGCCCCGTTGCCATCCCTACTTAAATGCATTTCATGCTTAGTCGCGTATCCAATACAGACTTAACACGTTTTTGTGATTTTGATACGGATCAAATGCACACCTCACTTTACTCTTCATCTGAGGCATATTAATTGCATTTATGCGTAGTTGCACCCCTCCCCGCTTCGAATTTAGACAATCCAAGGACATATATGGTGGAGCTTAGAGACGTTCGTCTCGAGCTGCGCTAAGCTTCGGAAGAAAGGACGAGGATCCTACTCATGGCCAGAGAACGGTCTTTTACGATGTAGAGTACAATGTGATTGCAACTTTTTGATGAAATGTATTTTGAATGATGAAAAAATTAGGATATTTTAGCGTTTATGTACATTGAATGTTATCATCTAAGTCTAGTAGTGTGTTTTACCATTAGGGAGCATTACAACATATTGAAAAGGATTAGGAAAGATTAATGCATCAAGAAATTGTTTTATATGCATCAAAAACCTATTTTTGAGTGAAAATATGTATACAGGTCGACACGTAAAAGAAGAATATCTCTATGTGTCGACACACTCATATTTCAGGTCAGCATATAGAAGTAAAAGTTATCTATGTATCGACACATCCATCTTATAGATCGACACATGTGTTGTAGTTTTAAAGCCTGTAAGGCTCTGTTAGATGTGTCGAGTTCGAATTGAGGATAGACGACCCATAGCGAGACCGATTGAGAAACTGCCTAAACAAATTCTTGTTTAGTCTCTATCTATCTATATATATATCTATCTATCTATCTATTTATCTATCTATCTATTTATCTATCTATCTATCTCTTTTATATTTTGTTTGCAAATTATTGTGTTCGTCAATTGTGCGATTAATTTGTTTGGAAAATTCTTTTGAAAACGATTTGATAAACATTTTTGTTGAGTGGATCACAATCCTTTAGATTGTGATTGGATTTTAAGATCAACAAAATTATATACATTTTCAAGCAAAATCGATTGCACACAAGGTGTTCGATAATTTGTCTCTATAGTGTTTTTGTGCGAATGATATAGCACTGCCTGTTGAGTTACCTTTAAAAGATTTTGATTGAATCATATTGGTTGAATAACTTATCATTATCTTCTATTGGTTTTCAAATACGCATATCCGAGCTTTTCGATAGCGGTTCAGTTTAGACGAATCGATCCAAGTTACTTCCGCTAGCCATTGTTTTTTAAAACACCTTTTATAAAGCAATTTTTTTGGGGGATCTATTCACCCCCTCTAGATAAGTCGCCTTCGTCTAACATACAGTACAAAAGTACGACCATATCACACTGATTTCACCGATCCCAAGCCTCATCCCAGGGAACACAAGAAAATCGCTAAATGTGATGTACACATTAATATACTGAAGGTTGAGAAAAAAAACACAAGGAAGAGGGTTTGAATTGGGTTTTTAAAATAAATATAAAAAATTATATAACACATACACACGCTAACAATGGATAAACAGAAAGAATCCATATGGTTATCCTGGTTCACTATTAACTAAGTTAATCTAGTCCACCCGTTAAGGGGATTTTTCCTTATCTCAAGGACTTAATCAACTAATCTTGTCAAGATTACAACAACCTCTAAGCCATTAGTGACTTAGCCCTCTCGAGTTTCCTGACTAATCACACTTAGTCATTCAAGGAAAATTTACAAACAACCTCTAAATTTTCAACCACAATTTAGACCTCTTGAGTCTTCCGACTATAACACTTAGTCACTCGAAGATCACTTAGAAAAAGTTACAAGAACGTTTACAATATCGCTTCTTAACAAGCAGGTTGAAAACAATTTAAGAGCAAGTACTTCTACACAAATATGAGGAGCAACTCTTTGTGTCTTTTGAGATTCATTGACAGAGTATATACTTGCAGCATTTTGATTTGTGAGATTGTTATCTTCTGCAATGCATCATGGTATTCTATTTATATCTACCTTGAGGGATATAAATGTCTTTTGGTTTGGCCAGTTGACTTCAACGGTAGAATTCCTGGAGAGCAGAAGTAGTAAAAGTTTGGAAAGCTTACTGATCATTTCTGAGAAAAAAATCTCTGCTTTGCATATTTTAGGAAAGAGTTGTTTGTACGAATTCTTAGTCTTCACATTTTATTTTGGACTTTGAGCTTTTGATCCTTATCATGTGATTTGAACTTAAGGCTTGAGAGTCTTCAGAATTCTCTCTTTAGAAACGAACGCCATGTTGAGATGCGCATATATTCTTCATCAGAAACCTTGATATGTATCAGGATCTTGTTGAGTTGCGCTTTAAATTTGATTCCATTTAGAGTTGTATATATGTGCGCTTAAAATAGAATTAGAGTACCAAATTTTTACATATAATATATATGCATTGTTTTCATCAAAACTATAGATTATATTCAGAATCAAGATCTTGTTCTAACAATCTCCCCCTTTTTGATGATGACAAAATCATGTATCTTGATGAAATAATAAATAAGCTTAAATATGCTAACATAATCAAAGTTAAGTTTTAGAATACTCCTCCTAATATAGACAAACTCCCCCTGAGCTTGTATCTTATGTTTTACTTCTTCTGAGTTTAATGTTTTTTTTTTTGCATTGTTTGCCACCAGACGCTTTTATCTTGCAATTTCTTCACATGCTTGTATATATGATGTTAGAATGTGAGCATGAGTTTAGAGAGAAGATATATATATATATATATATATATATATATATATATATATATATATATATATATATATATATATATATATATATATATATATATATATATATATATATATATATATATATATATATATATATATATATATATATATATATATATATATATATATATATATATATATATATATATATATATATATATATATATATATATATATATATATATATATATATATATATATATATATATATATATATATATATATATATATATATATATATATATATATATATATATATATATATATATATATATATATATATATATATATATATATATATATATATATATATATATATATATATATATATATATCATTTCTAATTATACTTCCCCTTTTTGTCATAATCAAAAAGATTTTATAAAAAGATTGAGAATACAAAAAAATACAGACACAAAACGAAATTGAAAAGGGTAATCCTTAAGATGCCTAGGTATGGAAGGTAGAAGGAGTCCTTGGAAGAAGCTCAGCGAGCATATCCGTGATAGAAAGACTAACTTCTTCTTGACTATTCAACCTTTCTTGCTCCATTTTCTGATTGTCTTGCAAGTTCACCAAGGTTTGAGCCATGATAGGGAGAAGATTATCACCAGAGACACGTTTTTCAGCAGCGGCTCGTAAAATAGCTTCTCTTTCTACAATTGCTTTCATTTCAGATTCCTTCTGAGAAATTTTAGCAACAATTCTCTCAGCTTTCTTTCATTCTTCTTCCGCAAG